CAAAGTTGATAGTATCGCAGTGGAACATCGTGCTTGTCTTAGCGAGGAGGTCTTGAGTTGATAGTATCGCAGTGGTCTCGAGTAGGGAAGTAGAATGCTACCACCACGCAACATCAACGTTTTGTTATAATCTAGAGATACCGTGATATTGTAGGAAACATTGTACGTAAAAATTCAAAAAATTCGGAATTTTTTGCTTGGCATATATCTTTTTCGTGGGGCAACGAGAAGCTTGGTAACCGCCCGGTATCCGTTTTTCTCGGGCGGTATCCAAAACCATGGCTTGTACAAGCATATGTGGCGAGCTGCAGTTGCAGCGTGGCGCGGGAGCTCGCGACTACGGGGCGGCGAGCTGGCACGACCAGCTGCAATACGGGCGCCGCGAGCAGGGCGGCGAGCTCAAGGTGGGCGCGGGAGCTCGCCTCTGCGGGGCGAGCTGCTGCGGGGCGTCGAGCTGACGCGGCGAGTTGCAGCACCGCGAGCGGGGCGACGAGCTGCGGGGCGGTGAGCAGGCGCGGCGAGCTCAGGGTGGCGAGCTATGGCACGGGGCGAGCGCCGGGGCGGCGAGCGGGCGCGGGGGGGCGGGGCGAGCTGCTGGGCGCCGAGGACACGAGCAGGCGGAGGCAAGGCGAGGCGGCGTGGGAAATCGGAGCGGCGGTGCGGAGCTCGCCCACCAGGTGTTCGACAGAATGCCGACGCGGACATGTCTAAAATACGTTTGCCCCCGCTGGGCACACAGGCCGACTCATTCAAAAAAGCGGACACAGACAGGCGGAAGGGCGACCCAAACAGATAAAAGACAGATAAAATCAATGTCCGTTTGGGTCGGCCCGTTGGAACTGCTCTAAGTGACTTAATCAAACTAAAAACAAAAAAAATGACAAAAGAAAATGTTTGCATGAATCTTCATGTAAAATTGATGATATAGGATTTAGATGTGTAATACTTAGGGCACATCTAGATGTGTTTTAGCAAAATTGTACAAATATTTCGATACACATGGAAATTACAAAAAAACATTGTTGAAACTTTGAAACCTTCATAAAAAAAAGGGAA